TGATGACAAATAATAGTAGCTTCCATAACCTGTCACGGGAGTACTACCCAATTTTTTTGCTCCCAAAGGAAGCCTACTGTCAATTTTGTTGCTGTTCTATTAATTATTTATACTGAATTTTAATAAGTAGTCCTTAATTTATCATTTAGGTTGTCTACTATTTCCTAATTTAAGTAGCTTGATGCAACAGCCCATGAAAATTCATAGGTATGGATATGCCAAAATGAGCTAATTTCACTGTATTCACTTTCATCGGTTATATGTTACTAACATAAATGGCTTAAAATCTTTCATATAAACTATTTACCTTAACAAAATGAAAGCATAGCGAATAGTAAACTTTAAACGTAAAGGTATTTTTATTTTCAGATTGCAATTAAAAGCATAGGCTAAGGACATGTAAGAATAAAACATTTGAATCATTGCTTTTCTTCAGACCTTCATTGAGGCTTTCAATTTGACCGAAATTGTTGTTGAATGCGCTTTCATTGGTTGCGTTGCTAGTTAAATTCGATTCAGTAAATGTGCTTTAACCAGCTTGGCTGTTTACATTCTGTCTAAATAGTTTATTTAAAGCCTTTCCGTTGCAAACGTCCATTCGAATCGTAATCTTCACAACTAAACATTGTTGTCAAACCATCCTATAATTTAATTAACGCATGGCGATTCAAAATAGCATAAAGTTTAAAGACATCAAGGCATAAATGTTTGAAGTTAAAAAATGAGAGAGGGAGAATTGGCAGTGTGTATTTCTATCGAATGAAGTTCCATTCCGAACAATTACATACTTCACAACATTCCATAGGAATTCCTTAAAGGGTATCAATCACTATGGCCTATTGGGAAGCACGTCTGGGTCGGAATTATTATTCAATACACACGCCTCCAATTCCCCCTCAAATATCCAAATAGACAACCCACCTGTTCATACAGCAAGTTAATAACAGTTAAGATATCCAGCATGTATGGAGTGAGAGATTTATGGGTAGGATTTAGTGATGGGGCGTAGTGCCTGAGACGGAGATAGAACGCGATACCCAGACGAGAGAATAGGGAGACGATTTTGCGGAAAGAGGGGGCTTTTGAGAGGCCTTATATCGCGCCCTACCGTGTGTGCGATCGTTGCACCATCTATTGGCCAATCCGGAGTGGCGTAGGTGCGCGTATTCGATGTCTTGGCGAGGGGTGTAAGAGGGTGTGCATACGTGGTGGCTTTCGGGGTTGTGTGTCGCTTCAAGACCCGGACGGTAAAACATAATCGACCCGAGAGACCAACCATTATCTCTGTGCTGGCGCACATCTTTATCTCTCTGTTGTTAGGGAAAATCAGTATTAGTTTAGATTAGCCAGAGTCCCCAGTTTATTCCACTGGGTTTGGAACTTTGGGATCGATACTACTTCTCATCTTCCTGTCTCCATTTAAGAATAGTAGCTTGGTAGTTGCCTCTAAAATGCTTAATTTCAATGGGTGTTTTTCAGGGCGTGGTCCACGTATAGTGAGTGCCAGATTGTGGGGACTTAATATGCCCTCCCTCTGTCCAAGAAGTAAATTTAAGGAAGGCTTTCATGTAAAGGACTTCGGACTGGCAAGGCCTAATAAGTACTTATTGGTTCATTTCGATCCTTTAACTGGAAGATCAATTCACGTGTTCCTTTTAATTGCGTCTGTTTCTACTCATCTAGAGGGAGAGAAGTGTGGTTTTTGTTATGATCTAAATTCCGTTCAGTTGCTGGAATTTTTAGTCATCGATACTTTGGAGAAAAATTTCCTTCCTTACGGAAGTTTATTAGGGTTTGTATTTTGATTGCGTCATTCGGAAACGATTTGTTTGCTCATTTATTGGGTGGAACCATATTTTTACTTGAATTTCATTTCTACACATGTCAGTCTCCAACAGCCGATTGGAAAGTTAGATCTTGTCAGGATTTTCATATCCTGAAGTCGAATTTGTAGAAGCTCTTGTCGGTGGAGTCGGAAATCTCGAATTCACTCCTCATCATTGCGCATTCAGTCACACCGGTGAATCGGGTTAATTAAAAGGGAGGCAGAAATCGGGTTTCTCATTAGATATTCCCGTTGGTCCTATGGATTCACACAAAATGCGTGTCAGAAGACACTTTCCGAAATCTGCCTGAGGTGCTCTCTATTTTAATGAGGTTTTCCTCATTTTGGAAAGTCACTTTACAACGAAGTCGTAAACTAAGTTGACGGATGGATGTCATTGGTGATTTTGTACCCTTTATACAAGTTGTGTGATGTGGCTGTCAGGATGACAAGCGCAGGTAGCTCAAGGTTAGAATTACGTCGTTTGACCTGGCCACGATATTATAAGGTCAGAAGTCTGAAGTTTGGCCTATCCTTTCGAATACGTTGGCAAATTAGTCACTAAAACTGAAAATCTAATCGATTTAGTCAAATGTAGGAATGGGCGATTTATATGTTTTCCGATCATGATCAACATATTTTCGCGACTATGTTTTCAAACGGAAAGCTGGATCTAAATAGTGTTTCGGCAGATATTTGGACAGAAAATGGTCATTCTAAATTGCAAACGTAAACTAAATCATCATGTGATGGCAACGGCACAGAATCATAGCTTACTATTTTGCCTAAGCGTTGAAATCCGTATCGAGGTCATTAGCATCGATAATTTTTAGTTTTCACCTCGATTTCATTATTTGAGATAAATTTTATTTCGATGACTATCCAGTGCTTAAAAACATAAATTGTTTCTAAAGAGGGTTATTTTTAGTCCATTTAATTCAGGATGAGATGTGAACACGGGGCGTTTAGCTTCTAGTATGCAATATTTACTGCAGATCAGGTGAATGTATTGTGAAAGTATGAGATTCTGACCCTGAAATCAACACTATCGACATCACCCGAATTGCGATTGGCTCGGCTCTGTCCGTAAAGCCTTCATGACCTGAGCACTCGGAAGTGTTCCATTCAGCCAAAGCTATATTTGAAATACTCAAAGGTGAAGGTAGTTCCATCTATTTATTTTTGGACAAAAAAGTTATATTTGTATATATAATCCCGCAAGTCACAAATCAGTCTACGTATTCATCTGATTGGTCTGCATAGCTTGAAAGTGTATTTCAGAAACTCCATCTATTGATTATTGAAAGTATAACTACCCACCAATGGGTCTTGATATCACTACATCTCAATTGACAGATGGGCACTTTAAACGCAAGGCTCCGTCTAAATATAATTCTTTTCATTTTAAGAATGGAAATAAATTGTGACATTTTATTGCCTGGGGGAATCTTGCATGAAGAAGGTAATTAATTGAACCAGATCACTTGTGAGTAAACGGTTGGGTTGAAACAAATGCACTCGAGTAAACTTGATCCCTTCGTTCAATTTTTCATGGTGTACTTCCTCCCCTAATATCAGGATTCTTCTCCTGCCTCCTCGCGAGTATTAATAGTATTCCTATTCGCTCAATGTACCCAGGCTCTAATTAATTGTGTTCAACTTAGCTTCTTCAATTGCCCAGCTTACTCTCCTATCTCTTGAATTTGGGTTACTGTTCAATGCTCGAGTCCCGGAATAAGCATCTTCTTATTAGATCAAGTTGGTTTTCAATTGTACTGCCCGAAATTTCGTATTCTCGGTATGATAAAGTCATGAATGAGAAATTCCCTGAGGTAATTCACATTTGTATATTATACAGTCAGCCTAACTGTGCGAAGTCTTTTTTGCTCCAGCACACTGTATTATAACTACAGTGCATGCATGTTTCTTTTCGAAGTCAAAAGAGGCCCAAAAATGACCTAGGTTAGCATTAGTAGTCCATGCTGATGATTCACTTGCCCACGTCAGCAGCATGGCCGAATAGGGTGAAGAGGGAGGATTTTTGCGGGAAGAAGGGAAGAGGGAGGCAGATGTGGCAAGATCTCCCTATGCCTTGGCGAACGTCTACTGTGAAGAGGGGAGAAGAGGTGGGGGGGGGGGGGGGGGGGGGGGGGGGGGGGNGGGAGAGAGGGAAATACCAGGACGACTTGGGTTGGGAGTGGAGGAGTTGGGGAGAGGGGAGGGGGGAGGGGGGGATGCTAGGGGTAATTTCAAGACTTCGTGAATCACCACAGCCGCTGCCTGAATGAGTGGCTGGATGTTCTCTCGCACCCATGTATTTGCAAGTTCGATGTGCACTTCTGTAAGCAGTGGTGCATCAGGAAATGCCTTAGCGACTGGCTCCATCAAGCACCACATACAAACAACGCCAACCGTTATGGCTATGCCATATCCAAGTACGCACACACACACACACACACACACACACACGTGAATTAAGGCCTTGATGGCACGTGAATATATTGGGAGTACGACTCTGGTGTACAGTGATAATTATGATGGCAAATCCCATTAAGGCTAATGGCATCCCCAATGGAAGGTCTTGGATCGCAGAAATTTCCCACTAGTTGGCAATTTTAATCAATGACCGATCAATAAAATTCGGTTTTGATGGCACCCAATGAGTGTACAATATTACGGTAGAATTTCTAGGAGTAACAGGGTTTTTATGGAAATCTGCCCAATTAATTTAAGAAAAATGCGACATTTTGTATTTATTCATCTCTCTATTACTATTTTCCGATGAGATACTGGAACTTTCATTCAACAAAGTAGCCATTAGCTTACCATTTTATTTCTCTGCGTAAGCACAGGTAACAGCTTATAAGCTTCACACGCATATATATATATATATATATATTGATTTCTGGAGGCATTGAACTCCCCTCTTTCCTTAACAGTTTTAATCCGTCTTTTAGTAAATGCTCCTCTTGATTCGTTCTTTTCTTTTTGATTCATTTGCATCTTCTTACAAAAATGAGTTAATCAAGGTTTCTCTGTGTTCATTCTCTGCTTCCTTTCAGTGTCGTCTCGTTTAGAATTACATCATCAGCTTTTGCCTCTTTGCGAGGCAACTGTTTAGTTAATTTACAGATAATATGCCTTCCTTAATTGCCAACATCTAATTTTTGATAAGTGTGTGGATAGTTAATCGAGATTTCCCACACAGAAAAGCCTCACATCGTTTGGAGGCAGGTAGACTTCTTTCTCTAAGAGGTGAAAGTTCTTGTGAATTATGAGTCTCTAATCATCACACCAATCAGAAATTTCATCACTACTCTTTCATTCATTTCATGACTGCATTTTATATCTAAATCTAGCTAAAATGCAAGATATATATATATAGCGCACTATTTTACCTCTCGATTTTAATTTCTCTCTAACACCTAAATCGCCACTAAATTTGTTTACTGAAGGTCCATTTGAATGTAAATCCAAAATGCCGAATTTCATGTAAAGGCATTTGCTTAGAATCATCATTAGCAACACATATTTTTTCCCCAAGTGATAGAAGTAGTGTGGTACAGCAGCAGAAGTCCCAGAGGGAGACTATTGATCGACTGGAGAAGGTATGCGCACACACACACACAGCCCTTCACCCCTCTACTCCCGTGATGCACCCATGCGTACGTGTGTTTACTGCTGCCGCTGCTGCTGCTGCTACTGGCGTCTGCACATCATGTTACTTACCCCTCATTGGTCCCACGTGCTTCTTTGCTTCACACATCTACCTGTGCGTTTATTGATTAATTGGCGCGCACACGATGCACACCTCTATGCTTCCAGCATCCCATGCACAATCCCACTCCTCCGCCATTTGCCCACAATTACAACTTGCTTCCATTTTTGAATGCGAAAACTACTGAAATAGATATTAGTAGCGATCCGTAATTTCCAATTAATTAAGACCTTTGGCTCAAAATAAAATACGTTACCACTTTTTATTCGTATTGTAAATCATCGACTCGTTAAATTTGAAACGAACAAACGTGTGTATATTCACAAATCGTTAGATATGGTGTGCCAAATGGAGGAGTTCACCATAAACAAGTTGCAAAATTAGTCCATCCTTATTTTAGATTTACAAAAAATGTTGTGAATAAATTTTCGAATACACATGGATGTACATAATAGTAGGAAATGTATTACGAAGGCTTAAATTTGATCAGGTCTGTGCAGACGCTACCTTTGACATCCAGCAATTCAGCCTAGACACAACTCTCATCGTTCATGTTGTGCGTCGATTTTTCACTGTAAATTATGTTAAGAGACCTTTGTTCCAATAGTCTGGCCACATCGGCCACCAATCTTTCCTATTGTAAAGGATTGGTTATACCCCATGTTCTACCTTTTTAATGATTGGCAGGTACTTCTTTACTGGTTGGCGAGGTGGTTGACTTAGCCTCAGTGACATCGTCAATGTCAGCTTGCTTGGTGGTTTACGGTGTCTTGAACTGGCCACAGTCCTGTTCAAACTCTCCCTCATTCTAGTCCAAAAGTGTAGTTTGGCGGTATTTGGTTGTCATCTATATCATAACAGGAGAGACAAGTCTTTTAAAAGTCAACTGAGGAATCCAAATTGAAAGTCTTACATGAAACAACTTCTCAGGATTAAAATAAGTCAAGTAATCAATAAAGATATCTCCGTGGTGAAAGGAAAAATATTTATATAAAGTAACTTTTGTCAATCGTACTTGTGTATCAAGAGCTTAGTCATCTTTAAATTGCTTCATTTTTCAGTGTATTCTGTGCTCTGGTGTCCTACTGCGATCAGATGCCTTGGCTCCTGGATGAAGCCCGTCCGGACGGTTTCACACCGCTTCATCTCGCCGTCCTATACGGCCACACAGCAATTGCCGACTGTCTCCTTCTGCTTCCTCCACAGGCAGCCACCAGCGCCAACACTGGCAGGTCATCTTCCACTGATCACTCCATCTCCTTGGCTGCTGTCAACGTCAATGCTGAAAGCGCTCTCATGCTCGGAGGTAGCTCTGGAGCCACTCTGGGAAATCGTTTGACACCTCTTCATCTTGCTGTGCAAAAGGGAAATGCTCCTATTGTTTGTCTCCTTCTAGCTCATGGAGCTTTGCCCTGTGTAAAAGATGCCTCTGGAAAGAGTCCTCTTGATTTGAGCCTTGCTATGCTCAAGCGTTCAATAAAACCTACCATTACTGAGCAGACAGCCCCAAATGATGCCAATTTGACGGAACAATCGGTAAGTCACTTCAACTTCTTTGCAGAAAGTTAGTGGAGTAGCAATTCCACTTAATTGAGTTGCTTCTGCATAGGGCTCCTCCCAACGGGTGGTGACCGAGGGCAATCGAATCGAATTGTCAATGGTGCCATTCCTTGCATCAGTTGCACGATATCTCGTTACCTGTGCCGACATTACTAATCACCCATCTATGCCTCAAAATGAGGAGGATCAGTCTCTTCATTCCTTGCCCAGTTCTTTGCGATCTCGAATTGAATCGGTGGTACAAACCGCTCTTAATTCCGGAATTTCTGTCCTCCTTCTCATTTCCTCTTGCTTGGTGGCCGCAGTTGGTCTGCAATCACGTTCTTCTGAGTCGAGTTCAGACAATCAAATCACTCCACCCCCTTGTCTGTCAACTCTAGAAGACTCTGTTCTTGAATTAGCCCTTCAGCAATGCTTCCTTGAAGCCTGTTTAGCTTCTACTTCAAGCACAGCTGTTACAAATAGTGAAACGTCTGCCCTAAATGACTTTTTCACCGCAGATAATAGATCAGAATCGCGGGTTCTTCAATCGGGTACTGTCAGTCCTACTGGATCTTCAATGTCGATTGCGAATTTCTTGGTCCCTTCTGAGTGGTCAGCAAATGGACCCCCCATGATGTCGGCTGAAATGATGACACAACAGCAGCTTCAACAACCCAAACCAGCTGACTTGCCGCTGAATTTGGATGAACTGGGCGAGGAATTGAGAGAGTGTATGGTCTGCTCCAGTCGGGATAGAGCGGCGCTCTTGTCACCGTGTGGACATATTGTGGCTTGTCAGAACTGTACTCAATTACTGAAGAAGTGTATCATATGTCGACAGTCAGTGGATGCTTATCGTGAGGTACGCATTTATTGAATTTCAAAAAAATATACTTTCTTATATCTTTTATACTTTTTATGTTCTTCATGAAACAGTGGTTTAAAGAGGCGCTTACAAGCATTACGCCTCGTTATGAAGTAAAGTCACTATTTTTCGTAGTTTCAACTATATTTTAATTGACAGCAAGACTGTCACGTGATTAAATTTCGTCTATTTTGCTTCTGTACCCTGGGGTGGTCTGAAAAGTTGAATCTAGATCGTAGTTGGATGGACTGATTAGGTGAGGATTACATTTCGATAAGTTTTCAAACACCTCCTTTTTCTCGTATTTAGTTGTGCCTGTATTATTAAACTCCAGGTAGTTACTATGCCATGGTAAGTTACTAATCAATAGAGTAATTATCCATATCAGAAATTGAATAATTAATTATCTTCCATTTAGTTCATTGTTACTGCCATTTTTTAGATTCCAGCATGTCGTGAGTGCACATTCCGTCCAGCAGTGACCTTGACCCGCACGTGTAACCACTTTCTCGTTTGTCGCGAGTGCCTGATTCCCCGCGTGTCCCGCTTGAATAGAGCCCTAGAAGCAGCCGGAGATGACGATGACGAACAGTCCAAACCTGAATGGCTTCTCGCAGAAACCGAGAGTGAACAACGTCGACAACAACTCCTACTCTCTTTATTCAATGCTGGAGAACTTTGTCCAGATGGTATGTGCCCCGAATGTGGTCAGGCCGTCAGTGCTGTCTGGAGTATAGAGGTGGCTGTAAGTGGGCGGTGTGGAATTGAAAGAGTTCTGGCGCCACCTTCTACGTCAGTTAGATCATCACTGATTCCAGCTAATGCGACACAGGATTTACTGGTTCCTATTACTGTATCACAGGCGTCTACTGTGTGGGTCACTTCGGAGAATAATCAAGGTAACTTACTTTATTCTGATAAGAAGTGCTTGTTTCAAATTTATTTTGCCCTAATTAGCTTTATTTTATCAAAAAGCAGTTGAGGCTTCTACTATGAATCCACGATGTTTGGTGCCGAAGAGCGTTTACAACGCAACTCTAAGACAGGTAAGCTGAAATCATAAAATTAGCTAATTTTGTTCTGCCCTTGAACTTCTTTGTTTTGGCCAGACGCTTCCAAGATGCACACAGGCTGGTGGATCGAATGCAAGGCCTAATAATATGCGTCCTTCTGGTTCGGTGGTTTCCAGTGGCCAATCGTCTTCAAAAGAACTTAAGCGTCTACAACACGAGCTGCAAGCCATGCGGGAACAGGTAGGCACATCGTCTACTGCATTATCTATGTTGAAATGATTCTACCTGAATAATTTAAGATATGGTGACCAGCTGAACTACTAGACTATATTTAGTAGCATGCATACCAAGTAACAGACAAATACATAACAATGAGTATTGAGGCAAGAACGGCTAAATGAGATTTTCCTCCATATAAGGGACTGTCTAGATATTTTTAGTCCCCTTATTCTAGTAATCTCAATATACCGATTTTGAATAACTGGGATGTCCGATTAATCTTAGACTCGCGATGATGTAAGCAAAAAAAATAGATTGTAACTGAGTACAAAAAAATTAGGTTGGGCAGGAATGAAGGAGGGCCAGGTATACTAGCATAATCTTGGCAACATGGATTGCAAAAATGAAGACAGTTTGATAATCGTAGCAAGAGTGGCTAAGTGATATCATTTAATTATCGATAAAATGCCTAGAAAGTCAATATTTATTTTGTAGACACGCTGTCCGATTTGCCTGGACCGTTCAAGAAATCTGGTATTCATGTGTGGACATGCCACATGCCAATGGTGTGGGGACCAAGTTGCTGTTTGTCCAATTTGTCGTCGTACAGTTACTGGACGCATCGTTCTCTACTAACTGCATACTCTAGTCACTCGATCTCATACTCTTGCTTTCTGCACCATATTTGTCGGACCCCCCCCCCTCTCTCCCTTGCATTTATCATGATAATATGTCATCACCCTCTGAACTTTTTATCCAAGGCCATATATCCAAACTGTGCAATGTTGTTAGCATTTACCGAAATAGAGATGTACCAGAATTTTGTGAGGAACGAAGGATGTATTGCCAATAGAGGTGGTTCTTTATTGCCTTCAATTTAAATGATAGCATTAGTAAAATAAAATAAAGCATTCGCGATATTTCAATTTTCCCGTTCTAAATTCCTACTTGAACATGCTTTCACTTTATGTACTTAGTCGATTAGAGTTAAGAAATATCATCACTGCGTGATGGATCATTGATTAGAAATTTTACAAATTTACCCGGAGAAGGAAAGTCATTCGTTGACGAATGAAGATTGCTAAGTAATCAAAATATGAAATTGGATATTATATCAACTTACTTATATATCGAGAAATCAAGATAATGACATTACAATATATATGTAATAAATTGGATGTGTTCGTACTTGATGGTGCGCAGTACTGCAATAAATCATGGATAAAGATTTAGAATAAGTTTTGAAGGAGAATCGCAACCGCGATTTAGAAATGAACAAACTTATTCAAATGTATGAAATGCCATACCATATTTTTTGAAATCCTATACAAAAATAACTAATGCAAAACAAATTTTGATAATGTTTAGTTTGTTAAAATCTGCATTATTCAAATACTTTTAGATGATTAAAACATTTTGACCTTGATTTGTTTTAACCCTCAGGATAAGACACGATTGTAAATTACTAACTTTTAAAGATCCGGAAAGTGTTAAAAATAATAGTTCTGTCTAAACACAAAAAGACATGATTTATTTGTTTCTCATATTAGTTTATAATACTAAAGGGAGCGAGATAAATCCATGGTCTGGTTGTCCTAATGATCCTCAGACGAGATCAGGTAAGGAAAAATAGGATTTGAGCATTTTAGATTGTCCCACCGGATGGGTTCACTTTGATACAAATTGTTATGCCTTTATAAACTATCCATATGCAACATTTTCTGATGCAAACAAGGACTGCCTGGTCTGTCTTTTATTAAATGTTTTTATATATGAACTTTTAGGGCAGATTAGCACATATGCTTCGAATCCAGACTATGGAAGAGCACAATTTCGTCAGCGGTTGGCTCGAAAAGAATGTTTTAAATAGAAGGTAAGTTTTCAAATTATGACTTTTTAGTTATTAGTGTGCGGTGGTATACATCAGGTTCAATGCTCACATCACCATTCGGAGAGTTTATATGGTCTGGATGGCCAACTGACAAACAGGCTATTCGTCCTAGTCTATACGAACTTTGGTTTGATACACCGCCAACAGCATCTGATGTAGGAACTTGGCCAGCAAATCGTGATAAACTCGTCTACGGTTCCAATGGGGTTTCTTGGGGTTGGTATATTGACACATCAACTGAACTCCGTCCGTATATTTGCCAAGCTCCTACACTCAATGCCAAATTCCTCCAACCAACTGATCGAACAATCAGTTTTGGACAAAACGACACGCAATCGATTTCTCGTGGTCCATGCTTCGTAAAGCAGCCCAGTGATGCCTGGTATGTCAGCGGAATCGATGTTGACAATTTTGTCCAATTCACCTGCATTGCTAACGGAAATCCAATACCAAATTACCGTTGGTATAGACTCAATCTAGTTGGAGGTTCTTCTGGTTTACGACCTCAAAGAACTCTTATAAACCCACTAAATTCCACTACTGGCAGAATTGCAATTAGTGGAGGAAATTTGGTCATACACTATCCTTCGTCAAGTGCGGATTCTGAGCATTATCAGTGCGAAGCTTATAATAGATACGGAAGTATTCTATCTCAAACGGCTAAAGTAGTTTTTGGTCAGCTAGAAACTTTCCCAAAACATCCCAGAAGGACTCGAACTGTGGCTGCTTATCAAAGTGTCACAATTCCATGCGACCCACCTGCTCATTCTCCTCGAGATAGTGGGTGAAATTTGTTTTAACTTCTCATTATCTGAAGTTTATATAGTCATTCATGTCTCATATTTATTTAAAGGTTTAATTTACTCATTTTACATGCGAAAGGGACAATCCCTCGAGCCCATTGTTCTCACCGCTCGACCGGGCGTCTTCGTATCTCAAGCTCAAGCATTGATAGGCTTCTCGGAAGCTACTACTCAAGTAAGCAAAACCATTGCACATTACTTCCAATTTAAGTGAAACAAAACCAAAAACAATTTCTATTATTATTTTACTTTTACTGCAAAACTACTTCAGAAAGTGATATTAATAAAACTTATGCCGAAATGTGGCAACTAAGACTTTTGATAGCATTCTCTATTACTAAAATTAATTCTCTATTATTGTATTACTATGTGATAACTCATTAAATTACTAAAAATCTATAATCGCTACCAGCAAAGTTCAATTAAATTCTAATTATTTTGAGAATAACGACAGAGTTTCAGAAGATTTGAGTTAGGATTTTATAATATGCACTTCTTAGACAGTTCACGCCATTACGCTTCAAAATATATACTCCGTGATTCTTCCGTTGGATTACTGTGCCTTTTAATAGTACTCATTCATTTAATTTATATTTCTGCCCAATGTTTGTTTATTTGGTCATTTCAAATGGCTGGCGTTTTGATAATTATCACTAGCCCTTTAGCTGGCTTCGGGCTTTACAGAGGGGAGAACATCAAAGTGAGAACAAGTCGAGGGGTTGGGGAACAGAAGAATAATTCACAGATGTGACAGAGACAGACAGTCAGACAGCCACAAAGGCAGAGAAAAGGTGAGGTGAATATTGTGAAAATGGTCGAATATGGAATACAGTAGTGGCATGGTAATTTGAAGTGAGAAGTCAACTTTTTTCGCCATATGAGTATACGTTGCCCAGGGTGTACCACTTGCACAATTTCATTAGATGATTAATAAACTTGTTACACATCGTCGACAATTAATTAATTTGAACTTGCCATTGAATAAGCTCTTAATTCTCAATAAATAGAGCATGAAAAACCTACAATGTTTAAAACACATAGAACAAATAGAATACTAGTTCTTTTACTTCCGAAATTATCAGTAGGTAAATCCAATACTACTCCAATTTTTGGTCATAGCGATAATTTATCACATATCTATTTGATATTCAAAAGCAACTGCAATTGATACATGCAGAATTTGAATGGTTTGACGAAATAATGGAAATAAGTGAACAGGTCACTCAAATCATTAGATCATTCCGGGTCAATAATGGTCGTCTACGTTACCTTCGAGTTTTGTTTTTAGATGTTAGTCTAGAAGCCGAAAAGAAAACTAACAATAACTTAAATTCCCCTTACCCATTTAAATTTATTCTGATCTGACTAAATTTGACCATAAATTAGTCAAAGCAAAAAATGGTAAAGTTAATGCTCTCTCCTGAAATGTATTCCTGTGGTTTATAGGACACTGGTATTTACATCTGCATGGTGACAATGTACCAACTAGGATCTCGACCCAGCGATTCACCTAAGTCACCAGACATGCCCCTGGAGGTGATGGAAAGCAACTACCGGACACAGGAACCTCGAATCTACGACAGTTTTCCAGCTATTTGGCCAAGCGACCCAATTCGAGGTCGTGCTGTCCGAATTGAGTGCTTTGCTGGAGGCAGTGTCCAGTCGGGACCCCTGCAGTACACCTGGAGAAGGGTAATGCCTTTAAGCAAATTCACACTATGAAGAAATAGTATATATATATATCATTATTCATTTGTCATTAATAGATGGACGGAGTTGGAATTCCAAAGACTTGGATAAAAGAAGGAGGTCGGGTAATCGACATTCCACATGCTCAACCTGAAGACCAAGCGGTTTACGAGTGTAGTGTAAGCCATTCATTGCAGGTTAACCTTAAAGGACATAGTGTTAACTCTAAACAAACTTCAACAAAAAAGCAAGCACTTATTCTACTAAGTTTACATAAGATATGTAGCAGATTGCTTCACTAATAAGCCTTGACTATACACAGTAACCTCCATGGCAGTTTCTCCTATGCTTGGAAAGACCCCCAGAATTAGCTAAGCTACCACAAAGCTATGAAGGTAACAGACGTATCACGTGGAGCACGTTTAATTTTGGATGAGACCGTGGGGTGCGTGTAAGGACAGGGATCTTTGTCTTCATACCAATATGGCGGATTTGATAAACCAAGCGAGGTCCTATTGGTTGGCAGTTGGCTGTGTGCTCTCGCACTCAAGACTGCACTTACTCTCTACGCGAAGTTGCACGGCCGCACTTTCGAGCCTAACTGTGCGCATGAGGTTACTTTGTTCATCGGTGAAGCCGTTGTGTACTTCACGAATATAAGTGGTTGTTAACACTTTATTGTTTTAAAAAAGTGAATTACTTTATCACCAATTTCGTAAAATTTAATGCTTTAATAATGGTATATTTTTAAATTGCGTTATTAATTTCGATTTTTATACATGTTCTCTTTAACGAAATAAACAATTTTTTTAAAAATCTCAGGTTACCGATGCCAAAGGAAGTGTAGCACAGCCTCGAACTGTTAGTCTTCAGATCAGAGCTCTTCCATACTTCACAAATAGAGCCAAAGATGAGATCATATCAATTGGGTCTACGGTGAATATGGTCTGTGAAGCAGAGGGTATTCCAAAGCCCATACAGTTCTGGCTTCGAAACGGAATGTATGTAAGAGATCTCATTGCATCTGGTCAATTGGATGGAACAAAGTATGTCCTTAACGATGGAACAAGTGCACCAGCGACTCTAACAATTTCAAATGTAGTCCTTTTGTAAATGAAATTTATTTCACCTGAATTTCCGTGTATTGAAATTGATCTTTAATTTAGGTGGGCCTTACCGATTCAGCCATGTTTAATTGCTTGGCAGTGAACAGTCTAGGAACTGTGACATCTTCTGGTGAGCTTAGAGTACTTGCATTCCCCCCGAACTTCCAAAAGAATCCGATGGTGCCAGTACTTGGAATGGTGGGTAAAAGTGCTATCATGACCTGTCAACCCGAAGCGGCACCTACAGCTAACATTACTTGGTACTTCAACGGAGCCGCAATTACTCCGGACACTAGCAGCATGAATACAACCAGTGGTGAACCTACTGTGAATTAGTCTGAATTTACCATATCTGATGTTGTTTTGTAAATTTAACAACTGTGCGCATTAAATCTATTTTAGTGTGCCAAAACATATTGCACCCTGCCAAGTGGAAATCTCCTTGTACATCAGTTGACAAAAATTCAAGAAGGCACTTTTGAATGTCGAGCACAAAATCAATATGGAATGGCAAATACATCAGCCTATTTGACTGTTATTGATCCAGTGGTTATCTCCTTACAACCACAGAATACAATTGTGGATGTTAATTCAACTGTTATCGTGCCATGCAAAGCAACAGTCAGCTCTTTTCTGGATGTTAATTATGCCTGGTATTATGAAGTGAGTTATCGTCTTTTCAACTTATTCTACTTACTTTAATTATATTAAATCACTGTCAACCGTTGAGTACTACGTACGCACGTGCGCACGTATATATGTATGCGAACGTTTAATTTTGGCAACAATTAAAATTTGGTGTTTTCAAAAGGATGTAGAAATAAAGTTTGACCGGATGGATATCGACGCACGACGATACGAGACAACACAATTTCTGCGGCCCTACGATCGTGATTTTGGTTTCCTCCACATTATTAATATTCAGTTGTATGACGCGGGGAGATACACTTGTGAGGTGCAGACTCCACTGTCGAGAATCTCTGCCACAGCTTACATCCTCGTTGCTGGTCCGCCTGGCCCCTGTGCTGGTATGTTGAATGCGCGCGATTTATTTCGCGGAAGACGGTTTTAATTTGCAGGGAAAATGCTTCCTCCTCGACTTCAATTCTTCCATTATGTATGAAATGTGCTTAACGAATTTTGGGTTTTCAATTTAAAGATGACTTCTTTAATCAGCTCAAGCGTATGCAGTATTTCATTTGCCTTTCTTATTCGAGAGTACTTATATAAATTGTTTGCATATGTTGTTATCTTTTGAAAGCGCTAAAATTGAGGTGATCACGTCTTAACCCAGCACCAGTGTATAATTTGACGCATTTAGAAATGTGGTCCCATTTGAAAACAAAATTACTTTCATCTTTCGACCAATAAAAAAGGTTGATATATTGTACAAATCTTTAATGAATCCGTGTAATAATAATAACGTTTTTAGAAAAAGAGAGGTTGACAAGTTCAAAGATAACCTCATCTGTAGCGGAGCACTGCAAATAATAAGCCTTGACTATACTTAGTAATCTCTATGGAAGATTCTCCTATGTTTGAAAGGACACCCAGAATTAGCTAAGTTGCCACAAAGCTATGAAGGAAACAGACGTATCACATGGAACATGTTTATTTGGGATTGCCGATGAGAAACTGGAAATCTAGTCATAGTATGCACGCAATGACTTTGGTCATTCATTGGTCGGATAATCACGCACTGGCTTTAACTATTGATTTGTCGTCCTGACTGTGGTCATTGTTTGATCGGGAGGCCTCTACATTCGTCATGCTAAAGTTGTGTTCCCCACATAGCCTCCTCTCATATTATTATTACTATTATTATTTCAGTAGAGTAATTTAAACGATATTAATTAGTTGAATTAATGACTTTCTTGCTCCTTATTATTTTCATCCTTCAAAGGTGTTGAAGCAGCTACGATTCCAGATACCGAACTAGTGATAGTCAACTGGACGAAAGGAGCCGATCACTTCCATCCAATCGAGTACTACATAATCGAAGCGAGAGTTCTAGATCGACCATGGAATGTCGTGGTGGGACGTCTGAATGAATCGGCTGAAATTGAAATAGGTCAGTCTATTATCATTCTAGGGGGGAGTTTCGGGGAAAGTTGGTCAAGATTCAATAGCGTTAATGAGAAACTGAGAATTACTCGAGTAATACATGTATTATATTATTATTTGCTATTTAATGCTACAATCAAAGGGTTGGTAGTACTTTTAAAAAATCAGATATCGAAGCCACGGATTGGCAAGCGCATTAAATTTGTAATAACTACCCGCATATGAGCAGTGAGAGTGTTCAAAGTGTTCTTAATCTTATAATGGTCTCGGTCACCCATTTGTAATGCATTTTCGGTAGGATATTTTTCTTGAAGTTAACTCATTTTAGCAATCCATTCTAGGCATCAATACGAATCGTAGGACCATGACTATAGGAAATCTCTACTCAAACATTCAGTATCAGCTACGAATTCGAGCCGTGAATGCCAAGGGAGTGGGAGAAGCTTCGAGTCCATCTCGGGGAATCATTACTCTGCCCAAACCACCGACGAAGATGGTACGAAATGTTACTGGCGGGGGCGGTAAAGAGGTAAGTTTTTCTTGACCCATCGTTTGCTCAATAAGGAAATGAGTTCCGACTCACATTCTATTATTTGGAATAACACTTCTGGTTAAGATGTATTTTAATTCAGGGCACTCTGGTGGTAAAATGGGAGCCACTGTCTTATTTCGAACAGAACGGGGAGAGTTTCCACTATGTTTTAAATTGGCGCGCCTGGGGTGATCTTGAGTACACTACAGTAAAAGTGTATGATCCCACACCGGTGCCTGGCACTACATGGGTTCAATACACTGTCAGCCTGCCTGTTCTTCGGTACTACAAGCCTTACGAAGTCACTCTTCAGCCAGTCAATAAACAGGTAAGAAGTCATAAAATAAGACACATTGTTTACTTTAATTAAATAAATTCTAATGTGCTTGTCATTTAAAACAATGACATTAACTATAAGACATAATTATTACCCCAGTAGTGGTGTCTATATTCTAGATTTTTTGTGTAACCAATTGCAACCAGTCAGATCCTCGGTCGATAAAAAGTTCCATAAATCTATAAATAAGAAGAAATCGATCCATCTATTCATTGACTCAATTCCTGCCAAGACTCTCATAAAAGCGGATTAATCTAATTCCGCCACTATTAACATTTTCATTAACGTGCAAAGGGAAGTTTGTAAGACAATATGAAATAATTTAATCGAATACAGAGATAATAGGCAAAATATGGGCATTGTATAACATTTTCTGTTTGCATTAAGTGCAGTTTCAAGCACAAAATAAATGCACAGCATTTCCTTGTTACAATAGGATGGGGAATGCGATCTCCTGGGAGCGATGCAAGAGTTTTATCTACCGTTAAGTATTGATTTTTCGTGGTGCAATCCTACAATACTTATTGGTTTTTCCAATTGATAAGAAGGAGAGGTAAATGTCTTGATAAAAGGAAAACTTCTACGACTAATTAATTTGAACTGCTAGATTGCCTGCTTTTCTCCAATTTCCATTTCAAATTTACCTCAAATCCTAAAGAAAATCTTCGGAGAAATCGATAAAAAATCGATTAAATTCGTAGTTCTGACGAAAAACTTCGCATTCCAGAGGTAAAGTGAAGGAATCTGCCCCCCAGACTTCTTGATCATTTGCTCTAGAAAATAGACTTGTCTTTATTTTCATGCCTTTTAATAAAGCACCTATGAATTCCCCTTAAAACTAGATTTTCTCAAACTGAGTATTATCTGATCATGTTATTAAAGTTCCAAAAATGGAAATCCATTTTTAGCAGGAATTGTAAGCGAATTAATGAGGAATGAAACGGAATTGTTGATAAAAACGGTAGAATTTAATTAGTTGACGTCATCCAAGTTACCTTTTTGTTATTCCAGTATGATTTAAATGAAGTTAGTAATCAATATATTTTGTCTTAATTTAGGGAGCGGGACCAGTCACCGATCCCGTAGTGGTCATGTCAGCGGCTCGTCTCCCTGTAACGGCCCCTCGCAATCAACAAGCAAATCAATACAACGGTAGTGCGCTCTTCATAACATGGGAACCCCCTCTTCTAAGTGGAGAAGAGGGTCCGATCCTTGGATATCGTATCATCTATTGGCGACGCAATCTCGAATGCCTGGGTATCGAATCAGACATCGAGAGATTCGAACAGGGTCAACGACGAACTTTATACGGTTCAGATCTGACTTCTGGGTTTATTATCGGCTTGGACCAAGATATCTACTATTGTGTAGCTGTTCAGGTCTGTTTTTTCAGAAAATCATGTTATACCATCTTATGAACAACTGATATTGAAACTTTGTGAATGTAGGCATTCAATACAGCCGGAGATGGACCACCATCTGGGTTTGCTGAACAGACCACTTATAAACTTTGGCCGCAGAGTTTCCCAACAATCGTGCAGTTAAATAGTACGAACTATCCAAGAACAGTACGGGTCAACTGGAAAGGTGTTCAAACGACCTTGAACGAAGAAGCTGTTTTGGGCTATCGTATTCGCTATTGGCTAGTAGGAGCGAATTACAAGGAGGCGCATACTGATGTAGATGTGCGTCTGAGAACATATGGTTACGTTCAAAATCTGGAAATCAATAAGAGGTACAATTTGAGAGTCTATGCATATAGTCGAGCTGGTGTAGGAAAAATGTCTTCACCAATCGTGCAATTTCAAATGATTCCGAAGGATCAGTGTGTGCCTGGTGCATCTTGGGGTAAATTTTTACTGATTTTTGATCAAAATACTTCCAGAACATCTATTTCTTTTATAACATTTGAAATCACTGAAATAGAGCATCACGTTTTAAATCACCCCAGGCACTGTGCGATTTTGTTCGGATGGAAATAGGAATGACCAAATTGTATAACTACGTTGATCACACGAGCTCCTGCTAATAATTTTAGAAAATCAATTTGAACACATTTCAACGATCACGCATTCTAAGTTGGAAAGATGTAATTGAGAAGCTGTAAGAATTAGCAGCTTTTAAGATCCTTTACACTTGCCATTTGCTAATACTGGACAAGATAATGTTTATTGAATGCTTCTTCAAACATTCACATATTATTTGAAATCGATTATGATTGTAACGTTGTATATAACAAATTCATTATTATTAATAATAATTATTATTATTTATCGTTGCAGAGGGTCCGGACATCCACTACAATCTGATCTGCTCATCTTTGAGGACACAACAATCAACGATTGTCATCATTTTTATCTCTGCCTTCCTTCTGCATGACCGATTCAATTACTAAAAGAGAGAACAACTTTTCCTATACCATTTATATTAAGAAATTCAGAAAGGACAACTGTAAGAAATTAAATACAACACCACCTTAAATAAGTATAAATAAAAATGTCAATTTCATATTTTTTCATTTTATTTTCAGTCTGTTTAATATGTCAAGGGAAGATACCAGTAGATACTCTGAATCTAAATGTGTTCTCAGATCTCTAAGCAAAGATTCGTTCTGTAAACAAAAAGTCCCTGAATATATAAAGTAAGCGCAAGATTACCTGAAACTGTTCCAAGACAAGATAGCTATGACTTAATTGATCAAATCCAAGGGTCCATGTCTGGTCCCATTCAAATCGTAGTAACATTTTGTCAATCAGAGTTGGTTAAATTGACAAGTAGGACACACTTGACAATATGAGCCAATCGTTCAAAAGGTACCCGACGAGAGAGAGAGCCCGGATCCCACAGCTCGGACAGCAGATTCCACCAGAATGGTTAGCCCTTTAACACCCCTTTGTTCTTTTTCAAAATAAACTCAACTAATAATTGGCTTGTAACAGAAGGCGCTATTGCCATTTGAAAAATGCTCACTACGTGTCTAGAGCCTTCACCTGATACACCACCAGAACTCATCACTTCGGCGGCATCAGTTTGCTGTGAGATACCGGTGAGTGCGGTTGGGTGCATTTTTCAAAAAAGTAGTTAGGGCGTTAAAGGGTTTATAAAGGGAAATCTAAGTATAATTCACAGCATTCATCGCCATCTGTTTATTTATATAACTTCACATTTTTCGCTTTAAAATGTTCATAGATCCTTTCAGTTAGCCTACTGGAACTGTGGTAATAACTGCGTTTCCAAAATGAACGATTTTTATAAAAAGCAGTTAAATATCATAAACAATACTGCTATCAATTCAAGACGGACCTTTGATTCATGCATCTCTGTTCTATACCATAAAAACTGATATTCTCATTTAAATAGCTGTGTTCTTATTTACTCCTATAGTTTCCCAACCGCAACTCTTCTCAAACAATTTTAGCCTTTAATTATATACTCTTGTAGTCTTCAACTTCAACCTCAAGGTCTCAGCGTAGAGCTGAACGTGGCGGTTGCTGTGTTACTCAAAACCCTGGAGGTTGTCCACAACTACACAACTGATGTTTTCATTATCGTCATAATCACCATTTGCCATTGCGATGTACAAGATATAGAACTTATAACCTAAGTCATCTCGGATGAATTCGACCTTTGGATAAGAATAGACACAGCAGATGGTTGAAGTATTTTATATCCACTTGTCATTCACTGATTCGAATAAAACACTACTGGAATTCGAACTCAAAACAATTCTCTACTTTTTAGTGCTGTTTTAGCTTCAAAACACTTATTTCCAACAAAATTAAGTTAACTCGGGATACCCATGAACCTTCCTTTTAAGATTTGCCATTTAACTGTCAAATTCATTCTATTTTGGACTGAAATTAGACTTTGAATTTTGAATAAGTTAGGTCTGAATTTACCAACCACTAGGAACTATCAACTGCTATTTTAAATTACTAAGAAGTAAACTATAAAATCGTCAGTTTTATGAGCCTATCGGTAAGCCAAAGCTCATGGACTGAAGCTCTCTTATTCTACATTGATTAAATTTTAAAATTAGTTGGGTTGAAATTAATTGGTCCCCACTAAGTTTGGGCGCACTTAGGCTTAGAAATCGATAGAAATAGAGTGGTATCAGGGCCCTTTCAACATGTCGATATTATATGTACATCAAACTCCTGGGAAGACAAAGAACTTTGCAAGTCCACTTTTCCATCGAATATTCAACCAAACTAAGACATTATAGTACCGTTGTACTCTGGTGAAGTATAGCTGATATGAAACTGTTATGCATGCCCAAATGTTGTATTCTGTAATGTATCTGCTAGAAGCTTACTATTACTAACAGTGGAACGGAAAATCCATGTAGTCGAATAGCTTGAAGAATTAAATTGACTAATGAATATGTCCGGATGTATGCGTAAAGTGAGATGCAAAGAGGAGGCGGGCAAGCAGACACTAACAGACAAAAGCAGCTAAAGATTACATATTCTAAGCATTGGTGTTCAGGCACCACGGGTATAGGTTGAAGAATGGAAAATAGACCGATGGTGATTTGGATGGAAAAATTTTACAGTTGATTGTGAAGCTACTAACACAGCATAAACGATACTGTGGAATTTATAAGCTGTAAAAATTTGACAGCACATGGAATTCGAACATGTGGAAATGTAGTGAATGGGCTATCACATTGACCTGAAAAAGCTTGTGACAATGTACGATTAAGTCCATAGTAATCTTCAAATCACCCCACTTAAGCAGCTGCAAATGCATGTTTCTGCATACATTCACATTTATAAATGTCAGATTGTTGTGAAAACGCTTTCTAATGGATGGCGTTTAGTGCGATTCTCAACTACCTTTGAAAAATTTGTTCATTTGCTAACGAAGGTCTCGAGGATATCAAAACACTAATTACTACTTGATATCAAGAAAGTATCATTTTTTCAAGGTCGGACTTTCATGTTGAAATGTCCTCTTCTCAGTAGAGGAAATAAGTATAAGCATCCTCCTTCCTATAAATATAGGCTTAATTTTTAATCTAACTGTTGAAATTCGAAATGGTTAATTTTTAATACGTGACTCCTATACTATGTATTGCTATTACCAGAATAGGTTTGCATTTATAAAACCAACGCTTTCACATAGTTACAATCAGGAGTTGCGTATAATTGCCACTCGATCAGATATTTGCTATTTGCAATTGACAAAACTAAGATGCTACTGATGGCAAATAAGGAAAAGTTATTGGTAGATGATCTAATGCATGATTTCTTGTCCCAATTTTCAGTCACAGCATTTACTCGAATATTGGAAAGCGCTGTTTGCTATGAATATCATTTAATTACTAATTTTACTCTTGAAAAGTTTATAACCTTGCTACATGCAATAAATCATCATTGAAACGCTAATACTCCTTTTTGAATAAGAAGACGGATCTTCTCTTTGACGTCTTTGGACGCTTGTGTTGCTAATCTAGAACACCAAGATGAAATGATTTGTAAACAAGGAAATACATTAAAAAATTTCCACATCTCAACTTACTGATGTCCCCTTTCTGGATTGTTACGAAGAGAGTCGATAATCGTATGAACGTTTTCATCCTGTAATGCGCCACGTACCTTTTCATCGGCTAAAATGTTATTAACTCTTTCTTGCATCGCCTTCTCCTCTGGGCTTAGTACTTCTTCAATCAAGGGCTTAGTGGTCTGAGTTGATGTTTCTGGAACCTCTTCTCGTGCTTGACTTTCCGACAGACTTTCGAAGTGTTCGGCTGGATTAAGAACATTTATTTATCTATTTCAAATGGCAGGAGTTGTGATAGTTATTATTAGCCCTTTAGATGACTTCGGGCTACACAGAGGGAAGGAGGAACATCAAGGGTGAATTTTTAATTTTGGCAATAAGAATAATATAATCATCATTTTTGTTAATATATGCATAATAAATCTCAATAAATAAAGACGAAACCTTTAATGCTACGAAGCACTTCAGGGCTTATTATTTATTAACTATACATCAACAACTGAATATTTTTAAAGTAACAAAGATTATAGAATGAACTCTGAAAATCACCTAAAATCGCGCAAATTTTCTGAATAACATTCTTATCTTTAGTATTCTTGGACGTAAGTAATGTTGTGGGATTTGTTTTCAAACCATTTAACAACGCCATATTTTCCGAGTTTCGAAGCCAAGTAGAAATTTCAGGATCAGACGAAATTTGGGAGAGCAACTCATCCGTGATCCATTCTAAAAATAAATACGATCAAATGGGATACATGAATGAAAACAATAGTATTTTCTCTTCGAGATTTACGCGGATAGTCGTTATTTTTATTTGAAACCATGCCTCCGGATGTATGAGTAGTAGAAGGTTCAATGTGATTTGAACTACTCTGTTTAACATATGACCTTTTAATGGCCCTTCTGAATAAATTTTGCGTTTCCTCACTCAACTTCAGGATTAAGCTTAATTAATTTTTACTTCATTGTCAGGATTTCCTCTAGTAATTAATTTATTCTTGCTTTCCTTAATTGTATAGGGAGTATCGGTGTTAGGATTATCGAAGCAGTCTTCCAACTCCGGTATTTCAGTCTAGAAATATTTAATGCCTTATCACTATGAACGCTTTACTGATTCCATGATTAAAAAATGTGTGAAGGTCATTGAAAATAATAACGTAGAATTTAAAAAACTGCAGAGATGACAGTATAGGAAGATATTCATAATGTTATAATACCAGTTTGATTATGTCTTACCATCTGGATTTTACATTTAAAAAGCATGACTTTTTAGGTATTACTGTTGCGAAAGCTCAATTAGTATGATTCAAAAATACTGGACTGAACACTTTCACCAAATCAACCATAATGAAAAAACCTTAAATGCATGAAGTTTTAAATTTACTAGTCTCTTAATAAAAAAAAGTTTACTAAATTATACATTCGTCTTATTACATCAATATATAGATTTTCATTACCATTTGTTATTTTTATTCATTAGTTAATTCGTCAAAATTAAATCCTCGAGGTATTCTTATCGCTTGTACTTACTTTGTGTAATTGTCATATACGCAATAGCTAATAAAAATAGGGAAATTTGCGACCTTTTCAATCATTGATTTGCGATATTTATTCCAGTTTTCAATGTTTATTAGAAATACAAAAATTGAATAATTTACTTCGCCAAACCACAGTTAAACGTTGCCAAGGTTTAAATTTTTTATTAAAATATAATAATTAAGTATTTGTTCCCAAAAAATGATCGAAAATTAAGAAGAAAAGTAAAAGGAAAAGTCACAACGACGTGAAGCATTTCATTAAACCATTTCACCTGTAAAGAGTTAAGAATAAGTAAAGATATGTTTAATTTCGAAATGTTTAAAGCAATTAACTAATTTGTTTTAGCCAACCACGAATACACGCATTACAATGGAATGCTTGATGGCGTGGGTTCTCTCTCGGTGAGCTTATTTTGATGATATTTTAACACCAAAACCTTTGATTCTGTGATATATGCATCACCATCTGACAAAATTTTTATAACAGCGTATGTTCTCCTTTTAGACACGGGAGTGTGTGAAGGTGAGCAAAATGTTTTGGTGATGATTTCCCATCACGACGGTCTTCGTGCACTGTTGTGACGACAAACTGTGATACTGATTATGGATTGACAGTTGTTTTGATTTGTGTAGGTTCCTCGATGCAGGCAAATGGAGCATTTTAAAGTGGAGTGAAGAAGATGCGAGGTGAGTAAAATGATGGAAACAGATCCAACTTTGAATCGTGATATAATTTGCCGAGCTTTTTAACACTGATGTTTGTTCTAACCGCATGTTGTTGTGTGTTTTAGATTGGCATTGGGTAAGCGAACTATTGATGATGACAAACTTCTTTCCCCGGATGAGGAATGATTACAGTTGATTCCCTGACGAATGGAGAATAATCCAGCTTTTTGTTTGTAGGTACATGGAAGTGATGATGGCGACGAATCGTAATGTGAAGGTGAGTAGGGTATGACATGATGCCATCTTTCGGGTCCTATTAACCGTGAAGACACCTCCATTACTGATGTTTGCTATTTGCTAAACTTCGTGTTGTCATTTTAGGTTGATCAAGACTGTGAGGAATTTTGTTGGGAATGAATGGTCGTCCAACTAGATAGCAACTTCAAGAACATTTGTGTTTCTGTTGAATGTGATTTTGTATAGTAATTCAAGAAGTTTTCAGTTATAAAGTGTTGCTTTTCTTTTTGAGCATAAGGGTGTTCTGTTTTTTGATTACTGTGCTCAGTTGCTTGGTTTTGAATCATGTTACGGCATCAGATTAATATCAATTAGAAGTTGAAGATTTTCCAAGCATGGTCTGCTCTTGTGTGGGTTACCGTGAGGCGTTTTCTGTTTGATCTTGCTTGATGTAAATTTGAATGGCGGAGAGTAGTAAGGTAAGGATTTTAACAGAACATTTTTAGCGGGTTTGAGTGTTAAAAATACCGCAATCATTTCACTTTTTATCTTAAGTGGAAGCAGAACGATATGGTCTGTGAAACGGAGGCTAAGTTAGCAACCTCATCAAATTGCATGGAAGCGCTTGCTGGTATTTAAAGTCCTCTAAGGGCCTAGATTTATTCAGGCTACGATGGAGGGTAGTGGAAAGACGCCTTTGCAGCTGCACACTTACGTAGGCCGTTGCGCTATTTCATAATATTTATCATTATCTCATCTGTGGGATGTCTTTCCAAGTGGTTGGTTGGATTCAAATGAAAGCTGTTCCTGAAAACAGGTTTTCTCTAGTTTAGGTTCAAGAATTCGCTTCCCCAAAACTGTCTTTCCGAGCAAGATGACTAAGAGTTATATAGGAATTTAGTTTTATTGGTTAATAGAAAGTAATGGGATAGGGAAGAAAAAAGAAGAGAAATTGGGAGTCAAGAGGAAGGAGTCCTCACGAAGCGAGGGTAAATCGGGTTTTGGTAGGTACGATGGCAACCAATCTAACATCCGCCTCTTAGTAGAGCCCAAGTAGGAAGTGCGAATTAAAATTAGACACCACGGGTATTTGAGTCAGTGGTTCTTGACGGTTGGGCATAAAATCAATTATCACAATGATATCGAAAATTCAACCGATACTGTTAGATAGTCTAAGCTTGAGCACTGTCTGCTCTTATTTACTCATCAGGTACGATTGGGACCATAATATATACCTCTAAACTAACTATCCATTGTAGCAATCCACAACGCCGATATTCTAGCCAAACTTAGGAGAAATGCATGAGGTCATTATTATTAGTAAAAACTTATTCTAAATCAGGAATTATACAGACGTATTTCGCGTCTAAGGGTTCCGTTGTTTCTTGTAAGCAATAGAAAGGTCAAGCACTTTTCGATTGCGGACTGAATCATGTAATCTCCTGCGCCCGAACTGTCTGGAACGTGCGACCATACAAATGATACCTCGAGGAACGTGTCTGCCATTAGTTCAGAGATCCCTCAACCAATCAAAAAACAATAATTACTGTATGGTCAACGGAGACAAAAGTGTATTTCAAGGACTAATCTCTGTGTCAGTAGTACACGAACACAATAAACGTATTCCACGTCATACGTTCTAATTCCTCGATATTTTTGAGGTAGCTTAGGTAGCTTTCGAGAGATATTCCACACCAGAGACTTTTGTCATAGGGAATACTAAGGATTAGTAAATACCAATTTGTCTACATTAATTTGTATTTACTCAATCTTAAGTGATTTCTCCTCAGCATTGGCTCTATTTTACTATTCACTTCGCCAATGGAGACTTCCTTATTTGCTGAAGTTGGGTGTTACCTACTTAAGCGGAACGGAATCAATCCAAACCACAAGGCGCCCAAATCAGATCTCCAATTTCAATTCCATTAGAGATCTAGGCGAGATACCCCTGCACCGAAATCTCTCCTAAAGCACTCACTTCCGAATGACACCCAACGCTCCAACTCGCCAACTTACCAACTTACAATTCACAGGACACAAACCAATCCAAACAGCTGGCTGCACAAAAGCAGAGCCACATTCACAACTAACCGCAACTTCTGCATTTAATAGGAAATATTGCTATTCCTAGTTCCAAAAAACCTCCTGCACCAGTTCTGTCTAATCGTCCACTAGAGGTAGTCAGGCGTATTTGTTTCAATAATCAAGCTTGAATACAGCCTTCTAAGCCCTCAACTAAATGTTGCAACTATTTTATGAGTAGGAATCTTCACTGAATATGGCTACAGCATCGGCTCATTTCCAACTCACAAATTGCGGGATTTGCACAGCTATTGGTGCATTAGATGGAGCAGTAATTCACATCAGTTGGTCCTACTACTGGATGGCAGTAGTGAAAAAGAAAGATTTCCAACGGCTCCTCCCAAACTGCCTTTTCGTCTTCCACTACTTTGCTCACAAGAAAGAGTTAACAGATGCGCCAAAATGTGGTTTTCAAATTTCGTTGAAGTTGAAGCACGTGTTGGCAGCATATGCAAGAATTATCGATTTTAAACAATTGAAGTCATTTGGCTGGAGTTTCGTTGAAAAGTTGGTGACTGAATAGCGCAAAATGAATGCTACAAATCCTACCACTACTGCTACTAATGCTACCACCCCCACCACCACCACAACAGCTGCCGCTGTTGATGCTGTTGCTGCTCAAGGTGATGCTTCGCCTATTGGGTGTGGAGGAGATGTGAAAGCAGTGAAGAAGGTGGTGCGCTTCAACGACGTGGTTAAAGTCTTCTACTTCGAGAAGTTCTCCACTTCCAAGTGCTTGATGTTGATCCAGGAGAAATACGCTAATTTGCTTGGAGACCCTGACGACAGACGTATCTGTCGAGCCGCTCGCCTCACCGGCTGCACGACACGTCTCAACGCCTTCGCGGCAAGACGCAATAAACATGGTGAATTGTGCTACGTGCTGACTGTGGAAGGGAGACGGGACTCGGACGTGGAGAGATTCAAGAGACTAATACGCGACAAGTTTCCCGACATCCTCTTCACTCGTGCTTGAGAGTGTGCCCACAACATGTCAGCAACACCGATATCCTGTACATAAAACTGATTATCAATTCCCAACTGATTCCACTGATCCCACTTCTTCCTCGTCTTCCTCCCCATTGGCACTGCACTAAATGCAGCGGCTCGCGCAGACAGATATTACGCAAGAGCAGAAGTGCAGATTGAATTTAGTCAACGTCAACGGCCTATTCATCCAACCACAATCTGCGAATGCGAATCCGCATATGCTTCACTCAACCAGTGAATAGTAAGTACTCCTCGTTCTTCGTGCCCTCTCCCATGAGTGCAGAGACGCCGAGGGGAATTGGCCAGACTACAAGTGTTCCAGCTCTGTTGAAGGTCGATAAGTTGGAGTAAGAGGAGGAGTGAGTGTGCGAGAGAGTGTGCGAGAGAGGGAGGGAGACGACGTGAGATGGAGAGTGATATTCGAATCACGAAATATTGAGTTGAGCCTGCTCTGTCACTGCACCACATGCTGCTGCTAAACTTGCCTTGCTGCTACTGCTACTGCTACTGCTACTGCTGCCACCTCCTGCAACCCCAAATCTCAACTGTCTGATATCAATATTTCGCCCCCCCCCCTCTTGTCTGATATATTTATGAATAATACCAATCCTAGTCTATCTGCCTCCTCTTCCTCTTAGTCCTCCCTCTCCCCCACCTATACCTCAATTCACTTAGCATTTAGAGTGAAGTTGGTGAGTTTAGCTTGAGGTGGGCATTTTCGCTAATCCATATGGGCAACAGTAACAAGCTTTAATGTGTTTGGTGGAATTGAGCAATTCACATTTGAAAATTTGTTGAGGATGCATAGTTGGATGCTGTAAGGCAAGAGAAAGAGTAATGACGTCGGCTTTGAGTTGGTGTGGGAATCAGCCTAGGTCGGTCCGTCAGTCAGCCAGTCAGCCTGTCAAGACGGAGAAGGTGCAGAGAGGTCATTAATTGATCTGGTGTGAGAGGGGAATGGGTGTCCTTTTCGTGGCTTTCACCTTTCATCTCCACATCCAGAGAATAGTAATGATATGTGAATGCCCTTTTTCCATCTATATGCCAATAATACCTAGATTTTGGAGCTCAGTATAGGAAGGTCAATTGGTTCGAACTTTATATCAACAGTCCACTTGAAGTATTGGTTTAACCTCCGATTGTGGTTAGTGAAATGTAAAGCTATTTGGCTGATGATAATAATCTGTTAAGCTGAATAAACAAGTGCATTCACCCAGGCTTCCGGATTCACGAGGGACATCCCAAGCTTCTATCACACACGTATGATAAATTTTCATTTATGTTGTAGTGCATAAAAAATGCTAATTAGTATTATGCGAAAGAATATAATGTTAATTGAAGCATTTCCTGCTTTTCAACAGCAAATCGTAAAACAAACTCTTAACTTCACGAAATTAGTAACATAAATAATTTCAAATTTCATTTTTAAGTCATTGATTAAATCTTTTCATTATTTTCCAGTATCTTATAATCAACAAAATCGACACTATTGACACAACCGATGACCTAACCGATTATTTGAAGAATATGTGTGCTCATAATACTCATATTGGCAGAGACTATTTCGCTTTCTTTCCAAATATTCGGGCAGGATATCAAACAAGATATTCACTAATAGTAATATGCCAACTCCCATTCTTTCATTATCTTTATTATTATCTACATTTCTGCTAACGACATTTGTCTTGATTTGGGAAATTTTCTCATAGACCTGTAGTATCTGACAATGAAGAAGTTTCTTGGAAGTGAATTAAGTGGATAGTTGACCATTCTTTCACTCAACTCCATCATCTGCTCACTGATTTCATCTTTTTTACAAAACAAAATGCATAAATTGCTTTGTGTTACTGTGGTAGTTGAAGAATTCATTTCAAAAAAATTGGAGGAGGCGTGCGAGAAGTGAAATGGCAAAAAATATTTGATTTAACTTTGTTGGAAGGAGCATGCCTTCAAAGTTGCCTTTCTCCACACACGACGAGAATTGGGGTTATGAGATTTCTACAAATGTGACTGCAAATAAGACAGAAAGTGAGAGCAAAAGTCTTCACATTTGTCGCCAAACGCGTTGGAGGCCACTATGCTACTGCTCAAGCGGTCAGAGGGAAAGTGTCTCCAATATTCAGCTGATTTGTCGAAAATGGCGTCTATTTGGTAATTTGCATTGGCTGCGCTATCTAATAACCATGGCAACATGCCAACTTGGACAATTGCACATTTGATTGCAATTCTGATATTTAATGTGATTCACGTTATTACCAAATTGCAGTAGAAGTTCTAACAATCTCCAAATATTTTGGAAACAGTCAGCCTATAAAAACTTAAACTAATTTATTCTTAAGAAGAAAGTTAGCTATAAACTGTCAAAAATTGTTTGTAGTAATCTTAAAAATTCTTCAACCTAATAACCCATTAACAAATGTGGGACACCTCATCGCATGCCTGCACGCCAGGATTGGGAAGTGCGACCGTACAAACAGTGACCAATCATTAACCTCTGTTTGTTTAACCTAACCCGCCATCCTGATCATGAGTAGCTCCCTGCGTGATCGCACTTTATCCGCAATATACACACTGAATAAACGTGCTCCGTGCTGGACGTCTGTTTCCTTTCCTACTGAATAAATGTTCCGTGCTACACGTCTGTATCCTCTGTAGCTGGGCTATAGCTTAGCTTGTTCTGGGAGTCTAGCTAGGTGTTGGAGAATCAGCCATAGAGATTTCTGAGTCAGTCAGGCTTTAATAAAGTAGCAATCCGCTACACAGCTCTAATAAAAGCCCAACAACTATGATACCTATTTAAAATAATAAGACAGAGTTTATTTATAGCAATCCTTGCTTAGGAATATTTTATAAAGATATTTCAAAGTCAAATATAACAAAAAGGACTAGTGAAGTTTCCGTACTTACTCCTTAAGCGATGTTGCACGGCCTCACCTTCTAGCTTCTCTGGGTGCGCATGAGATTACTTTGTTCAGCGTGACGTGAGCCTCAAAATACACACTCCTCCCCCCCCCCCCCCACGGNGGGGGGGGGGGGGGGGAGGGGGGAAGGAAACTTGTGGGACACGTTATCGCTGTGTGCGTCATCGTATGCCTGCATGTCTGCTCGCCAGGATTGGGAGGTGCGGCCGTACAACTCTGTGTGCAGCGACCGTACAAACAGTGACCAATCATTAACCTCTGTTTGTTTAACCTAATCCCCCATCCTGATCATGAGTAGCACCCTGCATGTACGCGTTATCCGCAATACCCGTACTGAATAAACGTGCTCCGTGCTGTACGTCTGTTTCCTATATTGTTGGGCTATAGCTTAGCTGGTTCTGAGAGTCTAGCTAGGTGTAGAAGAATCTGCCACAGAGATTTCTGAGTCAGTCAGGCTTTACCAAGGTAGCAATCCGCTACAAACTCTTCTAATGAGTTTAAGAAGGTTTGGGTCGAGATATGGAAGGTTTTGGGACGCTAAGGTATACAATATCTGACTCCAAAGACTGGAATGTACAGGCGGAATCAAGAAGGCCAAAGTTGGGTGTAAAAATTAGCATTTTCAGTAAACAGTCGATGCTAGAAATAAAGTATTATTCCGTCTTCATATCAACTTACTAACCAATTGCTATTAAAATAGGACTGGTTGGAGGTGGGGAAGTTAATGGAGTTACAACGTAGTGATTTACAGTATAATTTAAAATTATTGCAATTGATTTTTATATTGCGAACTATGTGGACATACGTTCACTCGGAAGTACTCACTCAAAATCCTTGCTAAGAGGACCCATAAAGGTTTGCAATTAAATTACAGCAATCAATTGAAATAACTTTATAATACGGCTTTAGCAATTTCATTCTGACCATTAAACCAAAACTTAGGCCTATAAAACCAGCTTATATATCTAATAATGTATAAGTCATACCTATACGCTCATGATCTAATGTTAAAATTAAGGAATGAATATTAGAAATACTCATAAACATAAGATGATCTAGTAACCCCTAAATGTCTTGAAAACATTCAGTCAAAATAGCTCAAACTTATCTAATTTTAAGAAGAAAGTTAAATATAAAGTAGCAAAGAAAATATTGGCTGTAATTTCATACATTCCTCCAACTTGTAACAGATTTGCTACACCAATAAGCCTTGACTGTACTTAAAATCCATATGGCAACTTCTCCTATGTTTGAAAAGACTACCAGAACTAGCTAAGCTGCAGCAAAGCTATAGAGAAAAAAAGACGCATCACACGGAACACGTTTACTTGGATGTGTTACCTGACAAGGAGCTTTGTCATTATATTAATATGGCGAATTTGATCAACTAAACAATGAATATTGATTGGCCGTTGGCTGTGGTCCCCTCACTCACGATCGCGCTTAATCCATACACGATGTTGCACGGCGCACCTTCAAACCTACCTGGGAGAGTATTTGATTACTTGTTAAGCGAGGAAATCGAGTCACAAACACGATATATCGTCAGGGGCCAATTTCTGGACTCAGCATTAATTGATAAGTTAAATCCATAGCTTTGAAAAGGTCAAAGGCCAAAATCTACGAGACATACGTAGGGAAATCTGACAGTAGCTGGCAGACAAAAAGTGCGTATGTAGGGAACAGGTTTGCTGTTATTTCATCCAATTCAATTGTCCAAAGAAAAAAGGTCAAAATCTACGAGACATTTGCTGTTATGTATATGACTACTATCTACTGAATAAATTCGCAGCCAACAATTGCCCACCAAAACATTACGTAAATATTGCACTGTCCGACCCGATTTTCACAACAATTCGGTTACTCATTATCATAAAAATCTTTTTTTACAAATAAATACCAGTTCATTGCAAACAATTTAATTCTTGCCAATTCAAATTTCGTCAGCCCCTGGAGAGACTTTCTTCATTATTGAATACTGCAGAAGTGCACTGAGTTTGATGTTTATTTATACATCACCTGGTTTAAGAGTCTTATGAGGTTATCAAATGCATTTCTGTAGTAGGGGACATAGAAACTGAGAGTATCATTAACGTATGGGTATTATGCTAATAAAAGGAGTTGCCATATATAAGCTACCAACGGCAAAATCAATGGAATAGTCATGATCAGTTTGAACCATCCTGAACCAAATTTGCTGCGCATAATTCCTTCGAGGTAGAAAAATAGTCTCCCATAAAATTAATCCCTATTAGAAATTATTCATTTATTTATCAATACAAGCACTTGTGTTCTGCTTCGCCAGGGTGGTTTGAGTCGTCCTGTGCTGTGCCATTTTCGAACGAATTGTGCTGGTAACGGGTGCAATTCTTTGTGAACTGCCAGCCGAAAATAATATTCCACAGGGTATAGCAAAGCAAAAAGTAACAAAATTTGGTGACTTTCCAACAACTGCACAGCTACAAACTCAAAGAGGGAACTTCTACAGGTGTTTAGAGGATTTCTATGAAGGAAAGGGACTGATGGAAAAAATTGCGGTGCATATTGATTCAATGCTAGTTGCAAAACAATTGGGAGGATTCGAAACGCATAACGCCCTTGCCAATATCGCTTCAACAAACTTTTTCAACAAGCACATTTGAAGTTAGCATTTATATGTGAAATCCGTACTCAATATGGCGGGAGCGAAATTGATATCATCTGGGGACTCTTCTCATTGCCATTTCAGAGAGAAGAAATAGTTTATGAAAAAATTGTTTCCATTCAAGAGAACATAACAGACCAATCGACCAGACACCTTCGTACAACTATTCGAGGCGACTGCCATTACTGAAACCACACCAGCCTTCTCCAGAAAGCAAACAACACTGCATCGTCACTTTGCTTATTTTTCTAATTGCTACCGTTATACTGGAGATCAAACACCCCCACTTTTACAACAACAATAACCATAACAGTAGCATTAAACATAATTCAACCAACTACACGTTCCTCAACTCAACACTACTCATATCATTTCGCTTTGCATAACATTGTCAAATATCATAATTAATGCTACTTTTGAGGGGTGAACGATAGACTTGGCGCGCCCTGGGTAACGTATACTCCTACAGAAAAAAGTCTATAAACCGACATTTGACTTCTTACTTCAAACTACCATGACCCCAATTTATGTCAAATTTCACCACTTCCACAGCACTCCCCTTACTTTTTCTCTGCATTTGTGTCCGTCTGTTTCTTCTATTCCCCTCTCAAATCTTTTTCATTTTGATGTTAATCCTCTCTGTGAAGCCTAAAGCCAGCTAAAGGGCTAATGATAACTATTAAAACGTCTGCCGTTAGGTGTAAATAAACATTTCACCCTAATCATACGATTTAAGAGAAAATAAGTACACATAGTCTATGAATGTTTTTTTTGACACATCACATGTAAATAACTTGAGAAGTATGTTTTGATGCTAAAATTTATAATTATTAAGTTAGAAGTAATAACTGAGTACTTGATCGGATAAATGACTCGAATTTACTTACCAAAACTGAAGTATAGATAAAAGCAATGAGCGTCAATAAGTCAAGAATTATTTCTTTAAATCATCCCATTTGTAAAGAATTAAGAATATGTTAAGACGTGTTTAATTTCGAAATGTTTAAAGCAATTAACTAATTTGTTTTAGCCAACCACGAATACACGCATTACAATGGAATGCTTGATGGCGTGGGTTCTGTCTCGGTGAGCCTAATTTGATGATATTCTAACACCAAAACCTTTGATTCTGTGATATATGCATCACCATCTGACAAAATTTTTATAACAGCGCATGTTCTCCTTTTAGACACGGGAGTGTGTGAAGGTGAGCAAAATGTTTTGGTGATGATTTCCTATCACGACGGTCTTCGTGCATTGTTGTGACGACAAACTGTGATACTGACTATGGATTGACAGTTGTTTTGATTTGTGTAGGTTCCTCGATGCAGGCAAATGGAGCATTTTAAAGTGGAGTGAAGAAGATGCGAGGTGAGTAAAATGATGGAAACAGATCCAACTTTGAATCGTGATATAATTTGACGAGCTTTTTAACACTGATGTTAGTTCTAACCGCATGTTGTTGTGTTTTAGATTGGCATAGGGTAAGCGGACTATTGATGATGACAAACTTCTTTCCCCGGATGAGGAATGATTACACTTGATTCCCTGACGAATGGAGAATAATCCAGCTTTTTGTTTGTAGGTACATGGAAGTGATGATGGCGACGAATCGTAATGTGAAGGTAAGTAGGGTATGACATGATGCCATCTTTCGGGTCCTATTAACCGTGAAGACACCTCCATTACTGATGTTTGCTATTTGCTAAACTTCGTGTTGTCATTTTAGGTTGATCAAGACTGTGAGGAATTTTGTTGGGAATGAATGGTCGTCCAACTAGATAGCAACTTCAAGAATATTTGCGCTTTTAACTCCAACGTGATTAGGTCAATGCTTTTAAATTGTAAAATTTATTCGATAAATTTTCAAGTTCCAAAGTGATGTTTTCATTTTTTACGTGTTTCTTTTCGTGCGCATATAGCTTAGTCGGTTGGTTTTTAGGAACTATTATAGGAGTTTGGTGGTGAGGGCTGTGTTGATTTAATCGTCGACAATCATGCCAGCTTCGGTTCTGTTAGATTTGTCTTGAAATATGTCCATGTCGTAGGAGGTCATGAACTTTGAACTATTTTCCTGGAAGTTTTTGCCTTTAATTGGTCTTATCAAAATGTGTAGAACTGAATTATTACTTTTTATTTCGGAAGGCTGGACTGTGCTATTGTGAATCCTCAAATAAGTAGGAAATATAACGTTGAATGTAGCTGCACTGACGCGATTTGAAAATTGGTTGGAAGATGATCTACGTCCTTTTCGGAAGCGTACCGGGTTTAGGCACTAATTTGTGGGATTAATTTCCACTTAGGTGCTGTTTGTTCATATGTTGTATGTAGTCGTGCCAGATAGACTTCATCAATTGCTATACTTTTTGCTGACGCACTAGCCGTGATTGGCGATATCATTTTTATGCAATTAGTTGTCACAGCGCGAGTTGTGGCAGAGATTACCATATACGACGATGGTACAAAATTGTTAATTAAATTTTTTGGTAAAAATTATTCGTTTTGCCTGACGGGTCTAAACTTATTAGCCTCTAAAGGCCTGAACTCAGTAATGACACGTGACCAACCAAACGTCGGCAATTTGCTCTAAATTTTAGCGATCAACAAATTTCAGCAAAAATGCATATTCGGCCAATTTGCATTTTGGTTGCAATTTACAAATTTTTATACAGCAATATTAACAAAAGCATTCCGCTGTCCTCCCGCGCTCTAACTTTAGTATCGTGGGAAATGTAGTTTGCAGTAGGAAACCCAAATCATGGACCAACACCCAGTTTATTAGTCGATTTCTTGCAGAATTTCTAACCCTAGATACCAATATAACAGCACAAATATAAAATCGACTCTGTTGCTGTATTATGCCATGAGTAAAAGTCTTTTCTAGAAAGGAAATAAAGGTCATGATCAGAAAGAAGAACAAATAATTTTCAGGCCATAGTCTCATAACTCTGTACATGCCAAATAGAGGGAGGAAGATCAGGACTCAGCGTCTAGATCCCCAATGATGAGAGCCAATCAAAAACGCCGACGTCATTGCACCACTTCGTGATGAAGTTGACTCCGCATTCTGAGTGGAGGATGAAGGTGAAACTCCAAGGGAAGAAGATGACTGAAACGAGGGAACTAGTGTAGCCGAACGATTACCTGACCGCTGAATATCCGCATCCTCGCCTCTTCTTTGGCCCCCAGTTCCACCACTACGAGATGAAGATGTGAGTGAGGAGGAAAATGAGGTATTAGGTGCATCAGTTCCTTCATGGATAACATTTGCAGAAGATTCTTCAGGCTCTGTTACAACTACAGGAACATTAGCTGCGGTAGAAGTGAGACCTAAACCTGCTGCACTTCCGCGACAAATTGCAACGTCAAGAATCTCTGCATCTGTCATGTCTCGATCAGAAATGGAGAGTAGAAAAAGCATCTCTTCGTGGATTTTGGACTCGGGAAACTCCACCTTGATGAGACGCTTCTCTGAAGAGTAGTGGATGGCAATGCAATCGATGCTCTTGAGTTTGTGACAACGCCAGTAAAAGCCCCACTCACAAATCTCATTCTGTTCACACTTGTCGCGAACGTCTTTGATGAAAACTACCCGGTCGGCAAACATCAAGGCGTATTTCTCAAGGCATTCAATGTTGCGTAGTAGGTTGTCATGAGAATTGCTAAAAGAAAAATAGCAAGAGATCCCAAATTTCCAAACGACAGGCAAAACTAGAGGGACTAAATTCTACAACCTACTTACTACTGGGAGTTAGATACTTCAACATGTGAATTGAATAGTTTCTTTGGTGAACTCATTAAATTTAGGAGATAAAGGATGGCCTAGACACTCCCTCCCCAGCGCCAATGACCTGCCTGTTAAAATCAAGGCGTGAATGGATTTAATTGCCCCATTCAACTAGAATACATTGGAGCTGATAATTGAGATGGTCAAGGGTAGAATTTTGACCATTCCCAACTTTACGGCCAACATTTTAATGCAGTGAACACGCGCCTAGACAAAGACAGAGGAAAGACAATTCAGTTATGCAGGGAGAAAAGTGTGCTGTTCAAGGCGGTTAGTGAATTAATTGGGATAGATTTTTATTCTAAGAGTCAAGAGAAGTGGGGTGATAGGATCAAAAGATGATTGAATATTAGATCTCGCTAGAGTTCACTCAAGGTGAGTTGGGATTAACTGGTAGCGCGAACTTACACTTTAAGCGTAGGAGCTGAAAAAAAGAAAAGTGCGTTAAGGTGAGACCACAAGAGACAACTATCGGTCCATGGAAATGCCAGTTTCTGCTTGAACGGAGATAGAAATTGCATACAGGCCAATAGGACAAAGATCACGAAATCGTTGATTGAATTCAGTGATGTGGATGGCCAACTGTTCCGGTTAATTATGGTAAAAAATGATAGCGGGCACAAGATACCACCCCTCCATCTTAAAAAAAGTTTTGTAGACCCATGACTTTGCAATTATCTCAGGATTAAAAACATTGTGAACCATTCTTAAAAACAGGAACTAGAAAGCGCAAAGTGGAGCAACATTTCACGAGGAAGCGCGTATTAACAAGAACACTCAAAAAGAGGTAATAATATTAATGTGCTCAATGCCAATGAACTTCGAATAAGTAATAACTCTTGACTTAAGCAATAAAAAATACTTAACAATAACATATTTATACTAATTGCAAATTTCAGACCAACAGACAATTGCCGTTAGGACGATGGGAGGTGATAAGATCTATGAACTTACGGTGTTCAAAACCTATTATCAAACGAATTAGGAATACGTGATTTCAAGAATACATATTTGTGAAAAGCCTGGTGTTATTGGATGATCAAGATCCAATGATGAATAATTAGTCATGAAGAAGTTCAGAAAGACCCTCTTCTCGAGATGATTTATAAGTCGCAATAAAGCCAAACGCATAAACTATTAAGAAACGTACTTGGTATAGGAGAAGACATTGTTGTATCTATTCATCGTTAATTTGACGATGGGCTACAAAGGAAACGAAAACGGTAAAGTTAAAGAAGACATATTTGGCTACACTTATTTTTACTCTTGAAAAAGTACAATTCACAGTTTCGTCCTCCCCAAAAACGCCCTTTGCAGAAAATTTTAGAAGAGGATGGTGCTTTAAAAATGTCACGACCTCTAATAATTTCCAATGAACTGTCTGAGTTCTTTAGACATTACAATACAAAAAAACGACGGAGTAACTGCTTTGACAAGTTACTCTCGGAAGAAACTCATTCAAGTTGAAGGAACGCTGATGAAAATTTTCATCAAATCCTTAGTTTACAGAAGAGACTCGACAAAATCAATTTAAAAGACTTCAAATGCCCTATTTATGGATGTCCTTGACCATATAAACTGCATGAATGGTTGGATGGTCATCTGTCAGATGCATGCGTGCTTGACACAATCCATAAACTAAATACCCCAAATTGTTTCCAATCCAACCCACATTTCTGTAAATAAGTGAACAATAGCAATGGGCTACTTGATGGAAGAAAATTTTAAAAATTACTAAAGGTGAATATACAGCACCCAAAGTGAGTCTGTATGGTAATATTAGTCAAAAACTCATACAAAAACAATATAAGATAATGATTGCAATTGTCATAGATAATATCATTTAACAAGACTCTTCACTATAAGAAGGCTCAGTTGAACGATACGGTTATGGGATAACAACTATTTATTATCACATAATTTGAAGTTTTTGATATGCCGATAAAAAAGTTAAGACTTCGTCAAAGAACTTAAAATTTCACAATCAAAGCTTAATTAAGTATCAAGGATGCATTGAGAATACGGAACGTAGTATATAATTAGGGAATTGGAAGTTTCAAAAGAAAACAAGATACAAACTAGAAAAAGTATTAATACCTGCTTAGTTGAGGCAAATAGGGCCTTTGTGACTTTAGGATACTTGACAATGTAGATGCTGGCAGCGTTAGGTTTCTCCTGCGATTCTTCAGCGGCCATTTTTTCCAGTTTCTCTTCGCATGCTCGTCTCAGCCCCTCCAGGCAGTAGAAACAGGTTTCGATTAGGAGTTCTTCAAGATCTTGACGAGAATCTGGCAGAGGAATGGATCCATCTCGAAGATAGTTGAGAATAAGATGAAAATGTTTCCCACTACGATCCAACAGAACCCAGCCTAGGGATGCATAAAATATTCAGTAAATTGTTTTGCTAAGGGAACTCCAACTACAAAATTTTGGCAGCAAATAAATATGGTCTCTACCGTCATCATCAGTTTTGACATCCATACGTCCACTAAACAAGGCTTTGAGCATACTATCTTCACGAGTGAGAGTTGAAATGGTGGTGTAGAAGAGGGATCCCCCAACATTAAGCTTTACATAATTTCCAAGCCAATCCCGACTGCCCAAACATTCGACGGACATTGCATAAGGAAACTGGGGCTATATAGGCCAATATGGTCCTTTAACCTATTTTAGCCTGGATTAAATTGCTGATCATATTTTATTAATATACAAATAGTTTCTAAAATATTTTTAAAATAAAAATAAAAGTTTGAGACATTAACGATAAAAATGAATAGAAATCATTGAAGATCGTAAGTAAAGTTGATTTCTTCCTTTAAATATTTTAGTTCTATCATAATGTTTAGAAACTACTATGAATACTTTCATATTAGACTAATAATTCTCTGTTATAAATCACTGAAGTAAGCGAGCTGGGTTTGAAGTCCTACGTGTAAATTGAAATGAGTCGAGTCTTTCAGCTTCCTAGTGTGAGTTTGCTAATATTCACCTTTTTGGGTTTTGGTTGCTTATTCACTCAAAAGTATATCTATATGCTTGTTTTGTTCTACCCTTTTTGCCATTCTGATGTTGATTAATTTTTGTTTCTTTAATTAATCCAAATCGTTGACCACGTTTATCTCAGTATATAACTATTTGCGCTATTTTATTTTAATGGATCTCTCGATGTCGCAAAATATCCTGTCAAAACCATCCTCTATTCTATACCCACTTTGTTCATATTAGAGGTTATTCAAAGTTCCCATTGACTTCAGTGTTCGTCCATATTTAAATGAATTATGGTTTAGTCCCGTTAACAGACCAATCGAATACTGGCGGTGATATCCTATGTAGATTGTAGCGGATTGCTACTTTATTAAAGCCTGACCGACTCAGAAATCTCTATGGCAGATTCTCCAACATCTAGCT